ACCACCACCTCCTCCAAAACCTCCAAATCCACCACCACCTCCAGAACCGCCATCCCCACCACCACCAAATCCACCTTCATCACCACCACCACCTCCACTCAATCACTACAACTACCACCATGCTGCCACTGCCACCACCACCACCACCTCCACAACCGCCATCCCCACCACCACCAACTCCACCTTCATCACCACCACCACATCCACTCCATCACTACAACTACCACCACATGATTAGTACATAACACTTTTAACATCATGTCTATTTTAGTCATTATTCACAGTTACAACAATTTTATATTAAAATTTACCAAACGCTTTTACACTGCTTTTTGTACTAACAGCACTTTAAAAATATTGTTTACCAAACATGGAGTTGCTTTACTTTACAGCTAATTATTTTCAAAGCACAGCAGAAGCAACTTTTTTTAAAAGTGACAGCAATCCCAAACTAGGCCTTAGGGTAACTGCTTTTAAGTTAAACTATTTGAGTTAAAAATCCCTTACTCATCATCCCATTCCTGAAAGAAGAAAAAGAGGTACTGGGTGTCGAAATCAATACTTGGGTGCGTTTAGAAAAGTAATTATCTTGCAAAATTTTGTGGTATTAGGTGTGTAGCTACCCAGCAAATTGTAGGACCATTATCAAAGCTTGGGCTGCTCTCCCTCTTCTCAGCAGGATAATAAAAACCAAACTTGACAATATTCCCATGAATCTCTTTAACTTTCCCAACAAGGAACAATTGCAATGACATACATCTCCTTAAAATTTGTAGATGTCATATTAGAAACCGTACATAAATCTCTTAATCATAATATGCATATTCTCCCCAATAATAGTGAAATTTTAAAAACAAATAATGGGCTAGTTTTCTCAGTTGCTATTCTCCTACTTATTCAAAATTGTGAGGACTTCCTTTTGAGTGGAACAAAGGGCAAAATTGTATTGAATCACTTCTTGCGCAAGTACAAGAAGCCAACAACCACAGAGATGCCAACCACGGCCACAGGAACAGCCCAGTATTGCTTTGTCAAGTCCTTGATCTTCTGAGGATAATCAACTGCTTGATTCTTAGAGGTTATCTCTGGGGAAGTGGTATCTACATCAAGCTCTCCAATGCAAAAGGCTCCCATGAGGTCCTTTGCAATATTGCTATGCCCAGCATCTTCAAAATCTTCTGTGGCATCTCTTCCTACAATGAAATTAAATCAACAAGTCATATCAAGGTTCTGTATTTGTATCTACATTGTTGTTTTAGATGATTATCTGAAACAAATTCTTGACGGCACAGTCAAATAAACGAGAATATTATCCAAAAAGGAAGCTTAAAACTATACCAGCTGCAGCAAGGACTACATCGTCTCCCCCAGGGTGATCGTCCAAGTATAGTGTCAAATCGTACACCTGGGATTAACAAATGAACTAAATGTAAATATGAGAGGAGAGAGATTTCAATTTTCTTTTTCTTGTATGGTGTGCAACCATGAACAGACGATGAGGTCTATGACAAGTTCTAGTTCTCAAAAGCAAAATAAAACAGAGAAATCAAACAAGTGATGAAAAATTAAAGTCAAAACTCCTTATATACACAATCAAACAGATCACTTGAAGACAGATTTCACATTGGGAAATCGAGACATTATTCGGATGAGAAGAAAACCTCTGATATAGATTGGCTATCCTCATTCTGAGGATCTGCATGTATTCCAAAATTTGGGTAGTTAAGAGAGCAAAGACACCAAGATACTGAGCAAATTCACAGAGAGAAGCCACATGGGAATTTATAAATACCAAAGCACAAAAGAAAGTTACCTCATTAACAGAACACAACAAGCGTAATAATCTATATGCTTATAGTATGAGCACTTTTCATCTACAATCCAAATAAGTTCATGAAAGCTGTTAGGAAACTGCAATGATAGAAAAACCAAACCAACCCTGATGACAATCTACCCAAATTACATAAGTAGATGAAAATCAATATTAACATTAGGAGGAAACTTCACCAAGAAAAGAGAAACGCGCAGGAATTGGAAGAAAGTAGAGCATATTCTAATGTGGCACAAACTGTAGTAAATAGTAATCTTTCAATGAAACAGATTATGAGTTTTCCAGGTAATATTCCCAAGTCTCACTCTTTGACCTCCCATGACCTAAACATAGTGAACAATAACATCTTGAAAGAGCTTGAACCTCCTGAATACAAACTACCCAAACTTGCTACGCCTTCTTTACAATATAATAAAATCAACGATGTGAACCAGAGAGCCTAGAGAGGCAATACAGATCTGAAAATAAAGTAATCAAGCATACCCACGAAGAAGAACTCAGGAGAAAGAAAAAAGAATTAACGAAGGTGAGGTTCTTGCGTTCAATTGATACAAACAAAATACTCGCTCAATGCCCATGAAGATATCAGATAGGATTATAAACAGAGAATAGGGTACCTTGCCATCAATGACGACCCAGCAGTTGTCTTTGCTGTTTTGCTGGGAGACTTCTTGCATTGTAAAGAGCTTCGTCAACGTCGGCATCGTTGCGGGCTTGGTCAACAAAGTTCAGAGATTCTTGCCTTCTTGGTCTTCACTCTTTGGCCTTGGGTACGACTACCAGATATTCTCGTTTTCTGATTTTCTCTCTCTCCGTTTGTTGAATCTTGGTTGGGCTATAATTCTGTTAAAAGTTAAAACCAAAGATAAGACTTGCGTGCAGAGGAAGTTGTTTGTTACTGTTTTAGTAGGGTGGGCCTAAAACAAGGCCCAACTCTGTACAACCGACAAACTAACCCATAATTATATAGTTTTTTTCTTATCCAAAGGGTAAAAAAAAAAAAAAGATTTAATGCTTGGTGTATCTATATATATAAAGTAAAAGGCAGAGAATGGTGAAACATTCAAAATACCAGAAAATGCCCATGGTTAATGCAAACATTAAAAATTGAAATTATTAATTAAATGAGGATAATATGGTAAATTCACACATTTTCATATTTTAAAAAAATTAAAATTAAAAGAAAAATAAGATAATGGATCCTATTTTTATGGAACACAACTACCCATTATATTTTTTAATTCTAAAATAAATTTAATTTTTTTATTTAAAATAATCTTGAAACAAGACATGTACCGTAGCAAACAAATGAAACTAGGCGGTTCAATCGAAATAAATTTTTGTTTTGACTACAGTTATGGATGATTCAATTTCTACCATTATTATGATATTCCGTATTCCAATTGGATACCATAAATGTATTTAGGATCTGTTAAATGAGATAATGAGACTAAGGCATAAAAACAAAAGCTTCTTGCAGGCGCGAAAGCGCATGCGGAGAGGCTAGTATATATAAAATGCTTGGTATATTGTTATGGGGATGGGGAATCGATCCTAAGACATCGGGTGCATGGATTAATTTTCTTAACTATTTGTGCTACAAGCCCTTCCATGAATTATAACTTTTTAAAATAAAAAAAAATTCATCTCAACCATCTTCAATTAGAATTTCAAACTCAGTATACTTCAATCCAAATGCAACAACTATAAGAATATTAGTTCATAAAAAATATATATATAATTCAGAAAAATAAAATGGGTAGTTATATTCCATAAAAATAGGACCCATTATCTTATGTTGTGTTTTATTTAAAAAATATATTATATATATAAATTTATCATATTATCTTTATTTAATTAATAATTTTAATTCTTAATGTTTGCATTAACCAATGGTAGTTTTTGGTAATTTGAATGTTTCGCGCATTATGTATTTTGCTTTATATAAATAGATGAATTATAACTATATAATTAAAGATGAGATATTTAGTCATATTAGTGGCGGACCTATTAAAGCACAAGGAGGTGCAGCTCCCTTTGCCGAAAAAACCATTGAAGGTGCTTCAAATTGCCCATTTGCTCAGCTGGTGGTGATGTACAGATTACCTTATTTCCATTTTCAACATTTAAGTAAATGTCTTTGTCCTTTTTACTTTCATTTAATTTTTATATTACTCCATTTACTTAAGTTTACAATGTAAATAAAAAGTACCATCCCATTTGGATTCAAATAAAAATACTAGAAAATCAAATTCCCACCAAATCAAAATATAAAAAATCAGTTTTAGTGCAAAATACGATTTAGGCTAAAAATGATGGCTCATTAAGTCAATATATACTTCATAATAAAATCTCATAAAATCAAGTTTTCTTATTTGATGTGTAAGGAATAAAAGCCGCCAAAAATTATCTTGAGAAAATGATTATTCCGAAAAACCAGTTTTCATACTTAGTCAATATTTTTACATAAAACAATTTTTCATGTATGATATGAATGCATGAAGGGACCTAAGGTCATTTTAGGTAAAAAGCCTTAGATGTTCAGTCCACAAAAAGTTTTTAGCCTTTCAAAATTGCACCTCTGCTAAAAATTTCATGGTTCCACCAGTGGTCATATACCCATTCTTAGCACTAATAATATAGATAAATCCTGCACTAGCTTGCCCTATTGAATTTAATTTTGATTATTAAATTACTTTGATGCCCTATTGAGTGTTTTGGGTTTTTTTAATGAAGTTTTGGGGTTGAGTTTGTTTTAAGAAATCTA